TTAGAAGTCCCTTCTTATATAAAACCCTTACCCTTTTCTTGAAAAAACTTCCCAGAATCCAGAATCCTCACAGCAGAAACAGTATAACCCAGCCCTTGAATCTATGCCGTATAACCAGCACCCGCTTCCCTTCCACAGATGGACCTAGACTGCCAGTCATCCTGGGCCAGACCATGTTGGAAGTGGGGGTGACACTGACGCTGCGTTGCTATGCCGACAGCCATCCGCAATGCAACTACACCTGGTTCCTGGGAGACAGGGTTTTTTGGCACGGTAGCCATGTGGAGGTGCAGCTGGAGAACCTCACAGACAGCAGCATCATCCACTGCCAGGCCAACAATACTCTGACGGGACTGTCCAGAATAGCGTCCAGTATCTTAACAGGTACTATTAATTGCTGGGCAGTTTTAGACCAGCTAAAGGCTTCTGTGTCACATCGACCTGTGGGACAATAGAATAGAATGTACTTCTGAAGATTACGGGATCTACTGAAGAAATATATCCTGTTCATTAGATAATGTAATTTAACGGTTAAAAACAGGGAACCGGGAACCAATGGAAAACCGAATCAATTCAACATACAGAAGTACAGAAAGAGACAAAGGCAGAAGTTTCTAAAAGATCTTGAATGTAGAAAGTAATAAACATGTTTTTAGCATGTCCTGCTCATCCTCTATATTCCTTTAAAGGGAGAGTTCCTCTTAAAGGCACGGTACAGGTTGTAGCAAACCTCTATTCGCATACCCAGCTTCAGCTTTGTTTCAAGGTAGAGTAATGTGTTGTAACCTTTTCTTGCAGAGAATGAGACGTCAGTGGAGCATGTCTCCGGGAAGCTCCCACTTGACCAACAGTCCTTCAATCTGACCTGTACCACCCAATCCAGTTTTTCTGCCATATTCTGGTTCAGGGACGGTGCATCTCTGGTGACCGACAGAAGAGTCAGCCTATCACACAATAACTCCACCCTGTCCTTCAACCCCCTGCTTCCATCTGACTCCGCCTTCTACCAGTGCTCACCCATTCAAGCCCCCATGGGAGAGGGCTACATGCTGAATGTCATCTGTGAGTGCGTTTAAGCAAACGCCATGTGTCAGTCAATCTACTGTGACTCGTGTCTGTGCGCCAGTCTTCGTAACACTGTAAGTGTGTGTTTGTATAGCCTGTGCACAAGCTGGTCACTGGATGATCCTCTGAGTGTTTGTGTTATGATTACCAATGAACTACGAACATATGTCAAGCCTATAATGTAACTACCAGACATGTATAGTTAAGTTTATGTGTATACTTTTCAGATGGACCAGAGAATGCCTCCATTACTGGTCCCTTGGTGCTGACCCTGGGGGGTAGCTATACCTTTTGGTGTAACGCACCCTCCTCATATCCTTCCTGCAACTACAGCTGGTACTCTGAACACAGACAGGTAGTTTATGGTCAATATTATGAACTGGACTCGGTAACATGGGCTGACAACAGCACCCTGCGGTGTGTGGCCTACAACAGCGTGACTAGAAAAAACGCTACGGACTCTGTCTGGCTTAATGTTGTCAACGGTAAGTAAAGAGGAGAATTTCGGCTTTGTTTGCCGCTTTTTTCAGGCCAATGTGCTGGGTAACATTGTAACCTCATATCTCCAGCATTGCGGGTTTGATTCCTGCTGCAGATCTGCATACGTGGAATTAGCGTGTGCTTTCCCTTTTTACGTGGGATTCCGCCTGGTGCTATTGTCTTAGTATCTGGTAGCGTGTGTCCTCTGAAGGATGGACACCCCTTCACTGGTGCTTCCCGCAATAGGTTCCAAGCTCACCACGATCTGGGAATAATCCTATAAATCAGGGTTATTCAAATCACGGTCCTCGAGGTCCGAGCACTGCTGGTTTTCCAGCCTTCCTTTACCTGTCAGTCAGGTGTGAAGCCTCTGACCAATCAGAATCAGTAATTATTAAACTAACTACCCTGGGAGAACTGAAAACAAGGCCTGGATTTTGAATCGAGGTCCAGATTTGAAGAACCCTGCTATAAATGTTAAACCTGAAATATAAATAAAACAAAATAAAAGCCACAGCAGTAATAAGCAGGGCTTTAAAATGATTCTAATGTTTCTCCTTTCATGCTTGTTTTAATGAAATGAATGCCTTAGAGTTGTTAATAAAGAGATCTTTACTGAAACATGTCATACTTATATTCCACCACAGGGGTCATACTGTTCAAGCTCAGTAGCGCCGCCCTCCTGGCAGCTGTAATGCCTCTGCTACTGCCTATTCTGACATTAGCTGGTAAGTGTCATACTACACTGCATTCCCATCAGCTCCCAGTCAAGGTGTAGTCTAACTTAAGTATTACAGGAGGCAGGGTAAAAGTAATTAAAGATTTATTGTTTTAAAGTGATATTTTATTGTACTGTGTAATTTAAAGACTATCTGTGGAGCCCTTCCTGTTCCACAAGTTCTGCTTCCTTCTCAGGAAACCTAGGTCTTTATGTAATTTATGCAAGCAAAATTATTTGAAATTGGTAAATAAATCATGCACTTCTGCTGATTATAAATGTTTTTGTAATGCAGGTTAGCCGTGAGCCTGGGATACATGCCAAGAAGCAGAAGACACCCAGGACAGAATGCCAGTGCTGGGTTTACATACAGACACACACACACACACACACACGTTTGTATTCATACCTTTGTGGGGACCATCCATCCATGTGGTAAAAACTCTAATCCCACCAAAGCCACCCTTAATCCCTACCCAGCACTAACCTTAACCATAAGTAACCAAATAAAAAACTTTTGTTTTTTTTTGGTTTTTTTAAATTGCAGTCACAGATTTTTATAAAACTGAATTTCCCCTTGTGGGGACTGGAAAGGTGGTCCACGCAACGTCAAAATAACAGGTATTTAAAGGCCCCCACCCACACACAAACACACATATATATGTTTACACACTATAAGCAACTTGCCGGTCTAACTAACCTGTGAGTAACCAGTGTGAATAAGGGGAGAGCCGGGGCACCGTTACGCACTAAGCCAACACACTTCCAAGTCATGGGTATATTTTGCATTACACATAATTATTGAATTTTAAATAACATTTATTTTTTAAGGAATGTATCACAAAATAGTAATAACTTAATTATCTTAATACTCTGTATCTAATTTTGTTTTAAATGTGCTGCTCATCTATATCTATATCCAAAAAATACTGAATTTTCTGATTCTGAATCTAGAGGAAATATTAAATATAAGCTGCAGAGACGTCTCAAGGAAGCAGCCATGCAAGGACCCTAAACCTACATGCAGGGGCGCTGCTAGGGATTCTGGGCCCCATGAAAGCATATGATATGGGCCCCCAACCCAGACCAAACCAATTATGTTCCAAACTGTTTAGGACCCCAGTCGCTCAAGGGACCTTGGAATCATCCTAACTATCAGGCATCTTTGAAGACATCTTCAAATTTTTTCTGGTCCACACTGTTAGTCCAACTGTTTCAAAACCTCCACTATTATCCCAGTACCCCAAAACAACAGACTTTGGCTGGCTAAAAGTTCAGTTAAGAATGTTACATATGTTAAAGACATTTTGCTAATAGCATTTAGATAACCTTAGCAGATGTTTGAATGATTTAATTAGTCCAGTGTAATGTTATGTTTTTAATACTTCATGAGTACTATCATTACTTACGGAGCACTGCCTCATTGACCTCATGCTTTAAGAACTTTGTATGAACCACAACATACCATGAAGGCTAACATACCAAACGTAATCGACCCTCACCAATTTGCATATCACCCTAGAAAAAATGAACATGTATATTGGAATGCTAATCGTTGACTGCAGCTCAGCATTCAACATTATCCTTCCACAGAAACCAATGACAAAACTTGACATACCACATCGAGTAACTGGATCTTTGACTTTCTGACTAACAGACCTGAGACTTTTGGGATCACTGGACACACTTCACACACATCAACACTAACTAGTGGGTTCTGTACTCAGCCTGGTCACCCGTCACTCCAAAGCATACCTCCAGAACCAGAGGCGGACATTTCAGGTCCAGAAAGTAAAAATCCAAACCAGGATTTTGTTTCAACCAACCAATTGAGCATAAAGAGTCACAGTCACAGAGTAGTGAATTATTTGCATGAAACAAAATCCTGGTTTGGATTTTTACTTTCTGGACCTGAAATGTCCACCTCTGTCCAGCAAAACCATCAATTTTGTTTTTAGACACCAAGGTTGTGGGTCCAATCACAAACAGTGATGAGTCAGCAGAGAAGGATAAGGCAATACCTTGCAATGTGCTGTACAAACAACAATATTCATTTCAAGAAGACAAAAGCACTCACTGGTGACTTTAGGAAACTACAAGCTAACAACGACATATATTTATTAATAGGACTGCAGTGGAGAGGGTCAAGAGCTTATGACCATCATGATTAGTGTTTTTTGAAAGTATCCTAATCAGCATAACGAAAACACAGTCTAATTTAATATTATGTTTTTAATACATTTCAGCAGACCATGTCTATGAGGTACGGCATGCACATGCGCAGACTATAAGAAGGCCGTACAGATCATGTATTTAACTAGAGGAGCATGGAAGAAAATGTGGCTCGCAAAACCGCACTCAGAAATCTAATTGTGGTTTTCCATTGTTGGGTTACAAAGTGTACGTGTAACATTTGGTTTTAATTTTCTATCATATGTATATAATGAAAATGTATGGTTTTGCCCCTGTCCAGAGCCAGAATCAGGCCCGGAGACCTTATAGTATTTAACACTTGTCAAGCTTCCTGGTTTAAATTAAAAAAGGAAAACAACATTCTCGTTGGACTTTTTTTTATGGTTTTCTGCATAAGCGTATACACATGTGCTTTTACATAAACGATGCTTCATGTTCGTCAGTCGGAGGACGGATTTGTCACACCAGACCCAGATCATGCTGCTGTTGCGGTTGCCGCTCTAGTAGCATACGCGATGTTCTATGCTGGCGCTGGTTACGTTCAGCGCCAATCCACCTCTGCTTAATGTGCTCTCTGGCTGAACGGCGTGATGCCGGCTCGTGCGCCGACCCATTCACGTCTGTCGCTGATATGGTGTTGACTGGGTGCTACGGGTTTAAATATCCGAATAACACAAGCGGCTGGTCGGTCCAGAAAGATCGCCCGGTGGCATCGCTTGTCAGGACGGCAGATTGCACCGCTGGAGCAGCCGGGATGCGGGCTGCATGTTAGTTGTTAGCTAGCAGTAAAGCGAGGGCTGGGAAGCTGCCGGCCAAAGACGGCGATCATCCACCTGGAAGCAGCTAGCGGCTTAATTTCGCTTCTTTGTTATTAGCGCTTAGCTGCTTTAGCCGTAGCTTGGGCGTCGAGCATAGAGCGATGAGTTCGTTCGGGCTGGACCGCTTTCGCTACGGAAAGGACAAGGCGAGGATTAAAAAGGAGTCCCCTCCGAGGCGGGGGCACGTCGGATCAGTTAGTCCCGATTCGGAAAAGGAGAATCTGACCGGTAGGCAGACGGCTAGCCTCAATCCGTATGAGTTTACATGGGGTGCAGGAATGGACGTCTTTGCATTTAGCTAGTCACGGTCATATACAGGCAGCTGATATTTGTATTTGTATTCCTACTTTCCCCCAAATCTGACCATTGAGCAACTTTTGGTTTTCCAATAATGAAGAGTTTTTGTTCCTGATACTCATTTACCTGCAAAAGATCCATTTCCATATTTTCAACGAGCTGAAGTGGGGCCACGTCAGGTGGTTTTCACATGGTTGTATTAAAATTCTAAAACCGAAACAGAAGTCAGGGTCAGTAGCTGTATATAGCACCCTTCTGGAAACCCATTTCACGGGCAGAAGTCATGTCTCTTCCTACTGTCATCCTGGCCAACTGGTTAATTTTTTTTCAAGAAAATATATGTTTCACTGTTAATAAAATGATTTTGGTGTCCCCTCCCTAGTGTGATTTTGCCAAATCAAGAGTGAAATTTTACCTTTAAATCAGTTGACACGGGTTCTGAATTCCTTGATAAATTAGTATATTACACTAATTACCCCACTTATGTATTAGAAGATTATAATTATACAATATTTCCAAGTCTGTGGGCACAGTTTCTTAAGGTGACGGGCTTATTTGACTGATCCCATATGCACTCCCTATCCACAGATACGGTCATCCCAGAGACCCCCGAGTTCAAATGTCCATCAGGGTCCAAACTGGGGAAGAGTGAAGACTGTGTGCTGCTGGAGTCAGACTCGGATGATGATGTCTTTGGAGCGTCAGTGTTGAGTGGGAGGTAAGTAGGCTTCAAGTAAAAACCTGCGCTCTTACCCGGGAGCTGCTGGAATGTCATCCATCCATCCATCCATCATCTGCTGCTTATTCGGGGTGGGGGGACTACCCAGCCCCCTCTCTCACCAGCCACCTCCTCCAGCCCCACTGGGTCCGCCTCCTCCTGGTTGGACATGCCTGAAACACCTCCCTCCACCCGCCCAATATTAAAAACCTTATTTATGGTACTGTGCTGATGGTGGCGACTGCTTGCTGAGTAAATGGAGCTGGGGAGGGATGTTTGGCACTCAGACATGTTGGTGTGTTTGCTTCTGGAGGCTGAGCACGCCGCCGAGAGGAGTTATCGTGCTGTCGGATGAGGAAGACTCCACAGAGGGGGCCACAGAGCAGAGGCTGGCCAAGCTGCAGGAGCTCTTTCCTCACATAGACAGGAAGGAGCTGCTGGAGGTAAAGACTTCAAGCCAGCTACAGTTCATCATAGCCTGACGGATTACCCCAAAATCCAGGCTTTCTCAGTTACTATCTGGTTGTCTGGGCTGCAGGTGATCAAGGAGACAAGCACTCTGGATGGAGCTGTGGCCTGCTGTACACTCAGATTTCGGGATGAAGGTAGAGATCTGTTTAATGCATCCTTTAGCCCTTTTTTTCCCCGCTGGGACCAACTTGAGTGTGGAAATGTGAAAGTAGTAATTAGGGTTGCAAAGAGGCAGATAATTTCTGATAAATTTGCAGAAACTTTCCATGGGAAGTTAAGCTGGGGAATTTTGGGAACTTTGAACTCTGTGGAACTCTGCACAAGCTGACAAATATGGCAAAGAAAGCAAACTGAATGAATAACACAACATAGAATATGCAAATCCATTTTGATGCAAATGCACATTTTAGGGTGTTTTATGCACACAATTATTCACAAGCAGTTGATTACACAATCATATCACAGTTTTTTCCATTACATTCCCCACTATATGCTAACCTGCAATTTTGCAAATTTCCAGTTTATTCCCATTAATTCCCATTTATTCCTGTTAATTCCCATGGAAAGATTTAATCTTTAAAAATTCCCAGAATTTTGCAACCTTAGCGATAAAGCATGATTAACTCCATGGCATATATGTGTGAGGGCGATGCTTATATATGATGCTTTTTGCAATCCAGAGCCAAGCCGCAAGAGAAAGCTGAGTGGCTCAGATGCAGACGAGAGAAATTCTCAGGTCACTAAGAAGAGGAAGGATTCTGTGGTAAGTCACAGGCCTCTGTTGCTTTTTACAGTCAACTATAAATATGGAACTGCATTCGGGGCTTTAGTCAACAAAATCTTTGACAAATCAGACAGATGACTCTGCAGAAGAGGGTCCAGAGCCAAGCTGGAAAGATCAGGAACTTATGGTGAGGAGACTTCAGAGGAAGTTCCCCAGCCTTGACAAAGAGGTGAGTCTATGTTGGTGTGATGCAAAGCAACACTGACATTGTACGATAACCACTGTAACCAGTTGCGGATTCTTCAGACACACTTCCTATCATCTTTGACTGGTTGAATCCTGGAGTTTGGATTCTACCAGCATAAAGTTACAGATTTAATGATTTAACTGCCCTCAGGTTTCTGAATGGCTTTTACTCAGTCACAGATTATCTGTATTTCTCAAACCTGCTTTAAGATTCAAAACAGGCTGCAAAGGGAAGCTTTGTTGCTGTATTGCAGTGAGCATGTTGCTATGTATCCGGCAGTGTAAACTTAGCTAACAATGTTGTAGGCTGTTCTACATGACACAATACCAGTTGTATGCACATGCATCCCCCCCCCAACCTGCTGCACACCCCAGATAGCCTGACTACATGCTGCTCTGCAGGAATTGAGAGATGTTCTCCAGGAGCATGACTGGCTCTATGAAGATACCTTGGAGGCTCTTCGCATGTTTTCTGAAGCAGGTGTGTTTCCTGAAGCCATGGATGTATGTACATTTCCCTTCAAAGACTACAGAGATGTATTTGGAGGCCTGTGTGTCTTTGTGATTCTCCCTTTGCTCGATTAGTACAAAAAGTCCTGAGAATTAGCCTGTGCTGGACTTTTTGGCAAAGTGATTTGTGGTCATTAGTGACTGTGGTCTGCCTTGGTTCACTGCCTAAGCTTGAATGGTCAGCAGATAGATGGATAGGGTATGTGTGGAGCAGCTGCTGCAGGTGTGAACACTTATTTTACTCCATCCACTTATTCTTAACTTCACTGCAGTTGACTCCTCCCCATCTGATGTCCCGGAGAATACGCCCCAAAACAACGTCACTCCCCGGAGCCCCAGCCCTGTGTGGCAGAGGAGACAGTCAGGCTCAGAAACGCACTCCAGGGGAACTAGGCAGAAGAGCAGAGGTAGCCCCCCGAGTAGGGCAACCACAGCGCCCCGAGGGCCGCGCCCAGACAGGACCAGTGCGACGTCCTCGTCAGCCTTGCACAAGCATCCGGTCAGGGCTAACAAGGCAAAGGCTAAATCGGAGGAGAAGAGTGCCGTTCCCCTCCCTCTGGAGGTGGAGAGCGGGTCAGACAGCGAGGGCTCCGTCAGCAGCGAGTTTGGGGGCTCCTCGGGGCAGTCGGACTCAGACCGGGAGGACAATGTCAACCCCAAACTGAAGACCCAGATCCTGGAGTTCTTCCAAGAGGCCTCCGTAGATGAACTGTCCCTCATTACTGGCTGCTCAGTAAAGAAGGCCCAGAAGATCGTGGAGCTGCGGCCCTTTAAGACCTGGGAGGATCTGGTGAGATGCTCAGCCTGACCATGACCTGCTCCCTGGTCCCCCTTTCTCAGATGGTCAGGTCTCTTTTATTGATGATGGGGTCACTCAGACCCGGATACTGTCAGTCATAGCTGTTCAGAACGGCCTGGAAAGCTGCAGGAATGCTGTCTTCATGGTGGTTAGAGAGTGATAAATAGATGGTTCGCAAATGGTCTCAAGTCTGACATGGCATGAGTACATAGATCACAAGGACAATGCAGACAGTACAAAAAACAACAATGTATTATATGAATAATAAATAGATGGAGGAGTTGGACTGCTGATTATTGTATGCATGGCCTAACCTAGCCTGGCCACTGGTTATGAATACTGCGCAGTTATACTTGGCAGTAAAGAGTGCGGACCTGCTGGGAGGGGGCACTATGGCCGCTGGCAGAAAGGAGCCCTAGGAGCACTTGGCACATGATTGTGAGATGAGTTGATGGCAAAAGGTTTTTATGGATAGAGCATCATGAAGGGGGTGGCCAACATCGGTCACGGTGGCTAATATCTTTGCTGTCATCCTCCTCTGGTCCTGTAACAGAGCCAGTCCACCAGACCGATTCATTTTGTCACCTTGTGTCCCTTTTCGTGACATACCTCCTCCAGCAGACCAAAGCGTGGTAAATTATGCTGGCTACTATGGACTGGTAGAACATCAGCAGTGCTTTGATGCACATACCCAAAATGCGTCAAGAAGAACAGCCTGCTCTAGCATTTCTTATATGGGGCATCTATGCTTTACCGCTCGCGGGAGTTTTACTTACCCAAAGATGTTCTGAGGGGAGAAGGAAAAATGATTGGTTCAGACAGATAACCAATAAGATTGTAGAGGATGTGGGTCCAAACAACTGGAGGAGGCAGGACCAACCAATCAGATGTCTTGCTCCCACCTCCTCTAGTTGCTTGGACCAACGTGATCTACGGTCTGACTGGTTATCTTATATATGCAACCAGTGATTTTTCCTTCTGTCCTCAGAACATTTTAGTGCAGGTAAAACTCCCATGAGTTGCTTTACCCAGCCCTTCATGTATAGCCCTTCATGTATGCCCTTTCATCTCCAGTCCAGTCTGCTATGTACGTGGACCACCCTTATGTATCCGTTTGACCTCACCCCCTCCAGTCTGCCCTTTCATCTCCATTGTCAATGTATCTGACAATGGAGGAATCATCAGAGGAATTTTTTGGGTGGCACAGCTTGGAGCCGTACTTGAAGTCAGTCGTGTTGAGGGTGAATGGAAAGGGAGGCAGGCCAGTCGCCTGGGGTGATCCTGTGTTGTCACTGGCATCTATGATAGACAGTCCTGAAGGCTGCCATTTGAGTCTTTGGGGAAGCCTTGCAGTGATACCATGAGCAAGATGCTTAACCTTGAAATCACTGCAGTAAAGCTTGCAGCTGTATAAATGTTAAAAAAAAATGTTACTAGTAGTCAGAAAATGTTATATGACATGGTGAGATTTTCGAAAGGGCTTTGGATTCTAGAAAAGTGGTGATTGGGGTTGCAAAGGGGCGGAAAATTTCCGGAAACTTTCCAGAAACTTTCTATTCTTTGGAAAGTTAAGCTGGAGAATTTTGGAAATATTCCAAGTTGGAAACTTTCCATGGGAATTAATGGCAATATGTGGGAATTATCGGTTAAATTCCCAGAATTTTGCGACCCTAAGACATTATCTGTTGGCACATTTATACAAAGTAATGAACATGGTGCGATAACTTGCTGACTGCGCGTGAAATATGCCCCCACCCAGTATGAGGCTTTCCACAAGGGGAACGGCCTGTCGCCAGAGCTGGTGTGGGGGTGCCGCATGGTGCTGAAGGAGAGGGAGGTGGTGCTCGGTCTGATGAGCAAGTGCGAGCGGATCTCCCAGAAGATGGTGCACGATGTGACGAAGGTCATCGAGAGGGGAGCCGGCGCCATCGAGCAGCCGCGCATCCTCAACAGCAGGTACGTCCTTATCTAGCGGCCGTGCCCTGAGCTCTTCACTGCTCCAGCATTAATCGCAGTTCCTCCCGCTCTTGGTCCTTCTCCCACCAATGCGGTGTGGCCTTCCCAGGTTGGAGCTGAAGTCATACCAGCTGATCGGGCTGAACTGGCTGGTCATGCTGCATCAGAACCAGCTGAGCGGAATCCTGGCGGACGAGATGGTGAGCGGCCAAGCTGCGCCCTTTCAGTGCATCGTGCTAATCGCTCATGGGCAGCGGTTTTGTGCTTCACTGCATCGGTGTTCATGGGTTTGCCCTGGTCGCCTTGATCATGGGAATGAGCTCTGTGCTGTTGGGAGTCTTACCTCGTTTGTAGAAATACCCCGTCATGCGATCGTCACCCCCTTTCCCCACAGGGTTTGGGAAAGACCATCCAGGCCATCGCTTTCCTGGCCAGTCTGTACCAAGAGGGAAACGCTGGCCCCCACCTCATCACCGTGCCATCCTCCACTCTGGGTAAGGAGC